GCCAGAACCAGCTACTCCAAGCGTCTCTCCTCATTGGGAAAATGGCAAAAACTAGTATATGAGTGTCTTATACGGGGCTTTGTATACAGTAGATGCTCAATAAGGCTCTCATTTGGGGAAGCTGGGTAACAGAAGTGGAAAGAAACAGAGGGACCTGGTTCACTTCCTTGTGAAATAAAAAAAGAGGAAGTGGGGGAAGGAAAGAAAGCGGGAAGGGAAGGTAGGATGGGTGAAGAAGTGAATGGTACCAGCTTCCTGTCCTTGGGTAAGTGATTTCACATCTTTGAGGCTCAGTGTTTTTGTCTGTAAAAGGAAGACAATAAGACCTACCTCATTTAGCTGTTCCGAGGATCACACAAGATGATGGGTGCGCCCCACGCCCGATTTCTACTTAGTCCCTGACGTGGACTCTGCTGGCCCTGCACCAAAGCACCGTAGGTGCATTAAAAAAGGCAAAGGTTGTATTTTCGTTTTTTAGAGCACTGATGAATTAGCTGTGATGCTATTAATAGAATTAGATGGCCTATTACCATTAGATAATGTTCTTAATATTCACATTAAGAACTGTGGGACAGGCTGGTCCCCATGACCTGGGGCAGGCTCAGGGCTACTTTTATTTATAGGCCTGAGCATGGGGCAACCAAATGCAGTCCTCCCTCCGGCAAGTTAGCTGTGACTCCGAGAGTGTGGAGCTGTCAGGAACTGAAACCCAGTCAGAGGCAAAAGTGAACCAGGCTGCTCCGATTTCCCTGCCTGTGGGAAAGCAGGGGCCAGGGGGAATAAACAGGTCACTGGGTTGGTTCTTCTCCAGCACTGCTCAGAGCCTGAAGTCCTGCCGAGAGTTTAAGCAAGACCAGCGTGGGGGGTGGGGAACCCCCACAAACACATCTCATCTCTTATCCGTTAAAATTCAAGATGACTCATCATTTTGTCTTCCTGGTAATCCAGACAGGGTCACTTTTCCAAAGGCCACATTCATTGGCAAGACCTTTTAACAGGGGCATTCTGACTTTTTAGAAAAAGGCCAAAGTCAACATCAGAAAATCTTTCTTCTGGTCTGCGGTAATAATAGCCACTGTTTGTCAAATGTTACCGCGTGCCAAGCACTGCACAGGGTGCTTCGTGTACTTTTCTTATTTAATTCTCACAACCCCAGGAGGCAGATATTTATTCCCATTTTACAGATGAGGATAACAAAACTCAGATTAAGTCAAGACAGACACTGGAGCCGGTTCACCCCAGTAGAGGCTCCCATGATGACCCTCCCTTCTCCTCCCAACTCTGTGTCCAGTGATCTCACGTTGGTGGCTTAAAGTCCTCATGGCGGGAGTATTTACATCATATAAATTGGGAAATCATACAAATCAAGGTCCACCTTTTCTCTTCCTCCCTCATCCTCACCTCATACTCTTTCTAGCTCATGTCTCCAGAAGAAAATGACCTTTAATAGAGCACCATTTGAGGCCAGGCATGGTGGCTCCCACCTGTAATCCCAGCATTTTGGGAGGTCAAGGTGAGCGGATCACCCAAGGTCAAGAGTTCAAGACCGGCCTGGCCAGCATGGTGAAGCCTCATCTCTACTAAAAATACCAAAATTAGCCAGGTGTGATGGATTACAGTGGTGGATTACAGCCATGCACCTGTAACCCCAGCTACTAGGGAGGCTGAGGCAGGAGAATCACTTGAACCCGGGAGGCGGAGGTTGCAGTGAGCTGAGATCATGCCACTACACTCCAGCCTGGGTGACAAAGCCAGACTCTAAGAAATAAATAAAATTAAAAAAAAGCATCATTTGGCTGTAGGCGAGAGGTCCCCGGAACGCCCGGTTGCTGGGAGAAGCTGAGCACTGGCTGACCAGGGTCCCTTGCCCCTCCTTCCCAGGGCCTCACAGATGCCTGATCATATCCAAGTATTACTGGTAAACACATCTGAGTCCTTTTCCTCATTGCTGCTAAGCAAGAGAGATTCAACTTAAATTATAAGGGGTGAGTAAGCTGGAGACAGGATTTACTGGGTAGTAATAATGTGCTCTCACATATGGTACTTCTCATCTTCAAAGCGTTTTATAGCCATTTACTAATTAGTCCTGGGCTGTGCTCTGTGTGCAGGTACAATGCTCGATGACGGGCTGAACAGGCAAGAAGTATTTAAAAATATACAGGTGACCCTCACTCAGGTACAGGCGCCTCTGGCTTCTGTTGCTGTTGGAGAGGTAAAGATAAAATCTCACTTACCCTGGTGTTCGGGTCCCTGGTCTGGAAACATACAGTGGTGATTTACCGAGTACCAGCTCAGCCGGGTGACCCCCACCCAGGCGGGCTGAAGGTATTGAGGGGCCGACACCCAGATGGCACATCAGAGTGGATCTATCCTGGGGACCAATAGCCTGAGAGCCTGCGGGGCTGACAGCTCTCCAGACTGAAGGCCCCGAGCAGAGATTTATCCACATATGTATTTGCTCTTTGACAGGTGATTCTTATTAACACACAGGTGTTCTACACAGACACATAACTCAGGAATGTACCAGGTAGGCAGCTGTTACCCACCTACCACTAATTACAAACTTAAAGTAACTCTCAAAGGGAGCCGTGGGGAGGGCAAACTTAATGTTTCTCAGCAGTGACTGTCACCTTGTGCTGCGTCCCCTCTAAGAAAACCAGCCCAAATCCTCCCCTATGACAAGAAAGCTGAAAGTCTTTTAAAAATATTCATAAACCTCCATCCTCGCAAACCTATGTAATGCCCATCGTCCTTCACTGGGAAAGGAAAAATATGAGCTTCAGTGTGTTCATGAGAGTGTGGACACACATGAGGATTGGTGTTGGAGGGGAGCCAGGAGCCTGGGTTGGGTCTTGGCTCCCGCCCTGACCAGCTGGTGATCGTGGGTAATTTGCCTAACCTCTCTGATCTTCTTTCTTCATCTGTGGAACAAAAGCAACCCTATTCAGTTGCTCACAGTCCAGGTCTACTGTAAAGGTGTGCGGAGCTAATGTGTGTGGCAAAAGTTCTGACTTAGATTGCGCGTCCTTTGCTGATGGGCAGGGTCTTATTGGTTATCTGGTGTGTGGGCCCCTAGGGGCTGGCAGGGGCAGGAGCATGACATTCCCAGAATACACTGCCCACTACTGGCTGCTGTCACAGCTAAATGCTCATTTGAAATGCTGAGGCAACATCCAGTCCGAGGGATCTCACCCCATCCCACAGTGCCAACCACCAACTGCTAGAACTGGAACCAGAAAGAGTTGACTGGCCCAGGTTTGCTTCAGACCCAGTTGCAGCTCAGAAGCAAGCCCAGGCTCAGCTAATTCTTGGTGCTGTGCACAGCAGAGCCCAATCTATAACCCTCCATCTGGGGAGGGTGACCCCAGCAATCTTAAGTAACCATGCCCTGGAGCCTCAGGGAGGTTGGGGGGGACATAAGGCATGGCACACAGCTGCCCTGAGTAGAGGGGTGCCTTCTTGTGGGCACTGAGAGGTCAGGGTCGGAAGCAATGCCAAAGTGGTCAGCTGGCTTTAGTGGGTCACGATCACTTGCTCAGTAGAATTGCTGGGGGAGTTTTATCAAAATCTAGAAGGCTCAGCTCCAGCTAGTGAGATTCCGAGTCAACAGGCCTGCAGTGGGGACCAAAGCAGTCGTTCCCAAAAACAGCTCCCTGGGAGATCTGATGAGCTGAGTCCACAGTCCAGTCCAGCCCCTCCTAGTATTCATATTATGGAGGGGGACAGACTTACTCAAGGTCACATAGCCAGTTATGGCAGGGCTGGGACATCGACACAGGACACTGCACTGTTCTTTATCCTGGGAATTCCCAAAATTTCAGTGTAGGGGGCACAGTACCCACACGGTGAAAAAACCCAGAGCTGAGCAGCCCTCCAGCTGACAGGCAAGACGGGAGGTCTGTTCCACTCCACCTCCAGCCTCCCGAGAACGTTCCTGGGTGCCAGACAGCAGGAAGGAGAGGCATGCCTTCTCCTCACCGGTTCTCACAAGGACTCGAGTTGTTCCCTTTTTGGCTTACTTGGTAAAAATGGGCTCAACAGCTGCAAAGGGAACAGGTGAGAGGCCCTGTGAAATCACGTGTGTGTCCTGCAGAAGGGGCCTGTGGCTTCGCCTCGGAATGGGAAGGCCAGAGGGTGTCAGGCGAGCACCCAGGCCAGCTCCTGCTGCTCCCACCTCTGTGGGTGGTGCGTGGGCCCTGCTTCCCTGTGCTGAAGGCCATCAGGACGGGACCATGCTAAACCAAACTGTAAACCTGGCGATGGGTCAAGTTGACTGCAGCCATCTTGTATCTCAGCTAAAGGAGTGTGTGATGGCACAAGGAGGCCTGGTTCCAGGTTCCCAGATATGCTCCTAATCTGCTGTTTCTAATTTGTATGTTTCCTTAACTCCTGGGCCTTAGTTCTGTCTTCTGCACACTGAAGAGAGTAAAAGGATAGAAACAAGATGACTTTGAAGGTCCTTCTGGCTGTGATGATCAGTAAGTCCAGGGAGGATGGCGCCTGCTCAGGGTATCTTCCCCAGCTCTGCTCCTGGCTGGCTGCACAGCTGCCAGGCCCCGAGTCCGGAAGGCAGACACATTCCTGTGATAACCCATGACACCCAGGCTTTGTCTTTCATGTATAATTCACACTGTGCGGCACAGGCCCAAAGAGCTCTCCCATCAGCCTAGCGAGAGGGTATGCAGAGGGGAGAGTGGGAAGGACAGGGCTGCTGGTGCGCTGACCAAACTTTAATGACTGCCTACTGTGTGGGGCTGGCCCGGGCACCGGGTGCCCACAGAGGGGACTGGAGGGGTACGGATGGCAGGGGGTGGGGGTGGATGTACTAGAACCCATTTGTTACTGAGCACCCGCCTTACGTCAGGCTGGATGAGTGGCTGAATGAAACCTTGCAGGTTGATCAGATTGACTCAGGTAACTCCTTCTCCCATGGAAGACTGCCCTAAATAGGAAACGCTGGGGTATGAAACACACACATACACGTGCAGAGGAGACACTAGTTTCAGAGGAAAAAGAGCGAGGGGCGTTTAATCTTAAAACTTAAGAGATCTCAGAGACAAAGGCTTTGGAAGAAAGGCGTGGGCATTTCTGATGCTTTACTTTCCATGGAAAATTACTGCACCATAATTTGTGAGTTTATTTCTTCCAACTAAGAAACAGAGGCAAGAAAGAGGGAGTACCCCCAAGTGAAGGGCTCTAGGATTCAGGGACCACCAGCCAGCTCAAGTTGGATTTCAGCAGTTGAGGCTGCCTGGGGCGTGCGAAGCTGCTGTGTGAGCAAAACGCTGCCGTGAAGACATTCCAGGCGGCTTCCAGGAAGCGGCTGTATGTGCTGACACGCATGTGGACAGGCAGTCTGGCTGGCCACCTCTCAAGACTGGTGTTTCCTAGAGCTTTCCATTGGCAAACGCTGCCTCCTGGAACTGAGGGACAAAGGTTTTGAAATAAGCCCTGGTGGGAAAGAAGGGGAGAAAAAAAAACTGTGGTTAGCACAAAAACTTGAAAAAAAGTGCAACTCGGAGCTTTCAAGCTAACTCAGAACAGTTGTTATTTATTGTTCATGCATCTTGGGTTGGATGTGCCTTCTCTGCTGAGGCAAAGCGCTCCGGGTTTTTCCGAGGAGTGCATGCAGTTCACTACTGTGATATCTCTCAGGAATGTTCAAAGGGCCTGTACGTATGCCCTTCTGGATGCCAATTCCTAGGAGACATCAGCACTCAGGTCCTGCTGCCTTTTTTTCAGGACAAAGACCAGGGCTTGGTCTAAGCCACAAGACAGTGTGTGGAATTCCACCACATGGCCACTTAGCGATCTGAAGTATCAGGAAGGTTGCATTTTTCACTCAGTTGGACCTTTGACTTCATAAAGACAAGGGGGTCTAATAAATTTTTTAAAAATTGTATTTTTTTTAGAGACAGGGTCTCACTCTGTGAACCAGGCTGGAGCTCAGTGGCCCAACCATAGCTCATTGTAACTTCCACCTCCTGGACTCAAATGATCCTCCCGCCTCAGCCACCCAAGTAGTTAGGACTCCAGGCGTGTGCTACCATGTCAGCAGTTCTTTTCATTTTTTTGTAGAGACAGGGACTTGCTACATTATTCAGGCTGGTCTCAAACTCCTGGCCTCAAGGGATCCTCCTGCCTTAGCCTCCCAAAGTGCTGGGATTACAGGCCTGAGCCACCACACCCAGCCCTAATAATTTCTAAATGACTCATGGTCTCCATTTACTTCCAAATACATATGCAGCCTGGTCTATTGGAAAGAAAGCCCCAGGCTGGGTGTTAGGAGAACCTTCCCCAGTTTGTGGAATCAGGGTGGCAGGACCCGAGGCAGCTCATTTGGCCTTTCCAGCATCCAGCTTTCTAATCTGTGGAAGCAGGGCCACAGTCGACCACAGATGTGCACCGCTGAGCCCACACTGTGTCAGGCACTGTACAAGGAGTCGGGATGGTGGGTGACCCATGACCCACCAGCTGGGAGTGTGCAGTGTGGAGGAGACAGACACACAGGCAACCCCATGTCAGGGCGCCAGTGGCGGTCCTGCGGGCCGCAGTCTGCGAAGCAGGGAAGGGGCAGTAGAGGGGCATTTCCAGCAGCGCTTGCTGTCAGCTGAGAACTAAAAGCCCTGCTGTGGGGTGAGGGAGAAAAGTGAGGGGAGGAGAAGGGAGGGGCTACAGAGGAAGGAGGTGGGCACCTGTGCTCCTGGTCACCAGGGTTGCCTTCTAGCCCTGCCCCACCGACACCCACATAATCATAGTCACACCTTACGTGTCCAGGAATCTCACCTCAGAGCAGTGGCAAGAACCAGACAGGGCCACCAAGACCTGTCACCTTCAGCACCGCAAAGGCCTCATTGCCTCACCCACTGGGAGCCTCCCACAGTCCATTTTATTTAGGATGTGGTCCTCCTGTGCCCGGCTCTACCGGCTCCCAGGAGATCAGAAGCAGCAAATCCGGAGTGGATTGGAGCTAACCCAAGGCTGGGAGGCAGATTCACCACAGCAGGGAGATGAGAACAGAAAACTGCTCAGGAATCACACGCACTCAACCCAGGATCCTGTGCCGTAGGGCAAGCCCCACGCAATCCAACAGGCCCTGGAGTCATCTCTGGGGCAGAGCAAATGCAGCGGCTGGTGCCACCGGCTGCCCCCTCCCTCTAGGTCAGGGGCAGCCCTCTTTCCAATCTGGCCTCGGAATGTTCCGGCTCTTTCTCAGTGCTGGACTCCGCCACGGCCTCTGCAGGCCTGAAATGTCAGCTCCTCTCTCTTCCCCTGTAACTTCTGTGACATGACACACCACGGCTGCCCCTCCTCCACACTCCCACGTGCCATCTTCCTGGCTCACACAGAGCAGGTGGGAACTCCGGGCCTGAACACTCCCCACTCTGCGTCTGCAGCCCTCCCTTCCCCCTCAAGCTTCCAGTCCCATACTTCCAACCACCTGTGGGACATCCGACCTGTCACTCTGTAAGGCAAGCCAGTGTTCTAAATGGATGTTTTCATCACTTTTATGTATCTGAAAATGCTCTGACCAATTTGGTTTTCTGTAACAGAACCTTCAGTTTCCTTCGGAACCAGTTTCCATTCTTCCTGAACCCCTATGGGGAATTCATCCTCAAGGTTCCCACCCCTAAGTCCCGCCATCCTTAGTGACTCCCAGAGCTCCTGTCTTACCTTTTGATGGCACTGCTGCAGAAGCCTCCTTCTCCCCCAGACATGAGGCCTCTTTTGCCTTTGTTTGCAGCTACACTGATTCTCTTACAGTGTGAGTCTCTGTCCCTTTCCTGACCGAGACCTTAATGTTCTCCAAACTCTCAGGCTGGCACTCAATGACTCTCATCACTATCTGGCTCCAAGTCATTAAAAAGAAAATCTATTCCGTTCCTCTATCACAGTTTTTGAGATCATGCAATTCTTTGAGAAGCTAAGAAAGCTAAGGATCCTCTCCCCAGAGAAACTGTGGATAAGAGCCCCCGCCACCACTGCAACCTGGGGATGTCACAGATGCCCCAAGCCAGCCACAGTCCAGGATATGAGCCCTGGATCGACGACCTCTCCCTTCTTTCCATTTGACTACTTGCTGTTCCTCACACATGCCATTTGCCAGTCTGGGGTTATTCATGCTCAGTACAAATACCCTTGCTTCCATCATCTTCCCTAGTCACCAGAAGGTCCTCTCCCTGCACGATGTCCATGCTTCTTCAGGGGCACTTGTCCCATGTGCACATGTCTTATCTGCCAGCCCCTGGAAAGAGGGAGCACATCCTGCTTCCAGTGACCACCAGGCCTGGCTCAGCGTAGAAAGCACTCAGTGATGGGCTGTGGCTTTAGTGAATGTCACTAATCATGACCACCAGTTTGCAAGAAGCAATTACAGCATGTCCATTACAGGCTGTTTAAGAAGGCGGGTGAGGCTGGGCACTGTAGTTCACACCTGTAATCCCAGAACTTTGGGAGGCCAAGGGGGAGTAGATCACCTGAGGTCAGGAGTTCAAGACCAGCCTGGCTAACGTGGCAAAACCCTGTCTCTACTAAAAATACAAAACGTAGCCGGGTGTAGTGGTGGACGCCTGTAGTCCCAGCTACTTGGGAGGCTGAGGCAGGAGAATCGCTTGAAATCGGAGGTGGAGGTTGCAGTGAGCCGAGATTGTGCCTGCACCACTACACTCTAGCCTGTCTCAAAGAAAAGAAATAAAAAAGGTGAGAGAGAAAGCAACCTTAGAAAGACAAAAGGTATAATATTTAGGTACTAAGGAAGAAAACTTGAGTCCATTCTCAAATTTCAAACTTTGCCAACAGTTAGTAAGGAAGATAAAGCGCCCTCCTCCATCCACTCGTGATCAACACAGCCCTGGGCCAGCCAAACTGTCACCTTCTCTGACACTCAGGACCTCAAAGCCCTTACCCATTAACAGCACCATGCTACCATCACCCTTAATGCAAAAGAGGAGCTATGACATGGCTAGGCGAGGCCAGGCAGGGCAGGAGAGGCCCTGGGCTGTGTGCCCCCTATGAAGAGCGGGGTTGATAAGGCCACCAGATGCCACGCTCACACAGGACAATGTGTGGGAAGAGACAGTCAGCTGTTGGCGCCATTCAGACATGAGAGCCACTTACTCCTTCCACGTTTCACCTGCCATTTTCCCCACAACATGGAAGTGCGGCTGGGGAGAGCCTTGAGGCCCCACTTCTCCAGGGGGTCTGAGACCAACAGGCTGCCACGGACTCTGTGGCCTGATGCGCAGTGTGAAGTCTGGCCCATCCCAGTACCACTTTCAGGGAGGGCCAAATGTGTCCCAAGTTAGAGGTGGTCGCCTTACCTGACCTACAGCTACGAACATGAAGGGGAGAGGGTGCAGCTGAGCTGTACCGTAGTCCCTACGGGTGCCTGACGAGTGGATGGTGCTAGGGCTGCTGCTGCCCTGGGCGCTGACCTGCGCTGGGCAGGGGTCGAGTCTGGGGAGCGCTCCACCTACCTCCCCGGGCCCAGAGTCACACTGGGTCCCGAAGCAAGCCTCATCAGCTCAGTTTGTCCTTAGAAACTTCCAGGGGAAGGGGCTACACATTGCAAGCTCCTTATACAAAAAGGCCTTGGCAAGAGGGAGCATGTTTTAAAGGCAAGCTTTTTTCTTTTCAGAAAGTTCTAAAGTTTCCTGTTCTGTCCTGGGCTTTCCCTGCCAGAGCCAACTGCGTGCTGCCAAGGGGAAGCGTGGCGAGGGCTATTTAAAGGCATGATGCTACCAGCTGTTTTCAGCGAGTACTTCTCAACTTGGATCCTCATTAAGTCAGTCAAGGGAGGGGGAAGAGGAGGAACGGGAAAATGACAACTGGCTCCCACCCATTTATAGATTTTTAAAAACACTGTTTTCATTTATTTCACTTTTTATCAGAGAAAATGGAGAGCTGCCCAGAGTACAGATTGCAAATGGCATGAGGTATCTGTCATCTTTGAAAAACCTTTGACCCAGAGACAAAGTACGTAGTAAGCTTTAGAAGTGTAAGCGTGTTCCAGGGGACCGTGAGGTCTCCTCACCTCCCCATTAACTGGCCAAGTGGGCCCCACAGGAGAGGACCCTGAGCACGTCAAGCTCCTCACTGAATGCATGCTGGAAGGGAATTTATTTTTAGATGGAATTACAGCTCAATATGCCTTAGGAGAAAATGAGGTTCGGACCCTCTTCACTGATGATCTCCGTCTCATTGCTCAGGGTTTCCTAAAATTACAGCTCAGTCCAACCCAGGGGTCTCAGGAGAAGAAAATGTTAAGGACTGGGTAGGTTTTCCATGAATTCAGGGCAGGAGTACGGCTGGCCCAGGCTTCAGCTCACAGGCACAGCATGGTGGAGAGAACAGAACCAGGAGTCAGGGGGTCTACTTTTGTGGGCCTTGGGCCCAGGGTAAATCTCTTCTGGGCTTCAGCTCTCTCACCTTGCTGTCCCTCAGGGTTCTAA